CAAGCCCCGCCCCTAGACGTAACCGCGCCCTTTCCCCTCCATCCCCCCGCCTCCGACGTAGAGGGCGGAGCTTCTTTGACGGGGCTTGAGCGGTTGCTTAGGCTCGAAGGTTCTCTGGTGGAGGCGCTCCTCCTGCTGCCCCGCCCAGGAGGTTCGTTCGCTTCGCTTCTTCCACACCCTTTCTCCCTCCTCTTTCTCCTCGCTCCACCTTCCCTCCGCTTCTCCTCAACCCCTCTAGTTTCTTCCCCGCCTCACCATCTTCTACGCTCTCGCGAGACTTGGCCCAGAACATTGCGGATCGGGTCGGCGCCATTTTGGGACTGAGGCTGGTTGTGGGGGAGGGAAAAGCGGCAAAAGGGGATTATTCAAAGTACCGAAAACCTCCTCCCGGGATCGAGCGTAGCAGCACCCCCAGGCCAGGGGCACCTCTGGTGGGGCAGAAGGTAACGCCGTCCCCTGTGCTTCACGCCGGAGTCCGGGGAGGGAAGGGGGGTGCCCGTGTCGGCGTTGGGGCTTGAGGGTCGGGAGCGGCGTTGGCGGCGCGAGGTGCGAGGCTGTCCGCGGCCGGAGGGCGGCGGGGAGCACGGAGGCCGAGGGCTGGGCGGCGTGGGGAGGCCTCCCTGGGCATTGACTCAGCCCGGTGCGGCGGCGGCGGCGGCGGGAGGGGGTGGTGGCGGCGGCTTCGCCCCGGCGGCTGCGGGGGGTGTTTGGCGGCGGCCGGGAGCGGGTCCGGCGCCCTCGGGGCTCGCTCTGCTGGCCCAGGCCTCCGGCACGCGCCCGCCTCCCGCTGCACCGCGACCCTCTCCCGGGCCGGGAGTCGGGCGGAGCGTGGCCTTCGCTGCGTCCGCGGCTGCCCTCGCTCCCCGCCTTTCCGGTCCGGGACACTTGCCGTGGGCCGAGGCGAGTCCCCCTTCGTCCCTCCGAGTCCCGGGGCCCTGAGGAGACAGACATGTTCCTTTTTGGGGGAAAGACCATTCTTTCCGTGGGCTATGAGAAGGGCCCCGCACCTCCCACACACGCAGTTTTGGAGGAACCTGTTTCTTCACTCAAGGAAATGGGAGCCCCCGTCTTCATCCCACTGCTGCCCTCGGGGGCGGCTTGTGCCCCTCTTCTGGTCCTCCTTTCCGACCTGCTAGTTTGAAGGGAACTCTCTCCACCTCGCTCTAAGTTACACTGAGCAGTTCCTCCTGGACTCGCACCTGTCCGGTTGGTTTTCCTTCGGTGCACGGAGTAGAACCAGCCAAGAGCTTTTGTAAGGTTGTGTGCCGGCCTCATAGTTTTAATAGTCACTTAAAGTATAAGTTTTACTCATCTAATCCCCCAGTATTGTATGGGCACCCTGTTCCCATTTCCATTCGGCCCGGTTCTCCCTCCGAGGCACCGTCACCCAGTTGTCTGCCCCTCTTCTCCCAAGTTCTTTCCATTGAGCCGACTGACTCACTGAATGCTTGCTGGGGCGCAGCCCTGCTTCAGATTGTAACCTTATTATGCACAAGTGCATTTCTCCCCAGAGGTTGACCTTCAAGGTGGGGGTTGATTTTTAGCACAAAATCACAACTGTGTAATTTAAGTTGTTTTCTTTTTCTTTTTCTTTTTTTTAATAACTTCTACAGGTGATTGAATTATTCAGATATGAAGATCATCTTCTAGGTTTTGTGTAAAAGGCCCCGGATATTTCAAGTGGCCATTTTGGAATTACAATGTTTTTGGATAATTTTGCCCTAGAAGTTTGTTAAAATTGGCACGAACCATCTCTGAAGTGAATTGATAGTAGTGAACAAATTCAACAAGCTACTTAAAAAAAGACCCAACTATTTCTTCAGTATTTTGGTTCAAACGGATTATATAACTGGCTAAAGTATTTCAGCTGGTGGTATTTTTGCTTCCCCCTCCCTTTTGTTGGTGTTCTTCAGCCAAAACTGTAAGATATGTTTGATTTGTGTACTGAGTAGCTTCAGCAGTTTCAAATTGCTGTGTAAAAATTGCTGAAGTTTTATGGCAGTTTATTTTTACCTTTATTAAAATTTTAGGAATTTTTGACCTTAACTCTTCATGTCACAATGGAACAGCTTTTCTAAATGAAGACATTGAAAGAATATAGAGTTTTTTTCTTTTTATCTTTTATTTACATGGAAATTTAAGATGTTACAGTTTCCCACCAGCATGGTTGTATTGAGATAGCTATTTGTATATGCTGATGTTTAGAAATACTCTTCAGATGTGAAATTTTCTTTTTTCTGCTCCTTGGCTCATAAATTGGATATTTCATCTGGATTGGATAAAGTACAACAGTGACAAGTACATGGAATAATAAAGAAGACTTTGCTCTTAAATCCAAGGAACTTGGCTAATTCTGGATATAGCCATATGAAAACTTTAAAACAGAAGTATGGGTAGCTGACTTGAATAAACTCTATGTCAAATAGTCATAGGTTAAGTATCTTCAAAGAACTTGGGTATTATTTCAGAGGATACAAAATAAGAAAACAAACTGGAAAACATAAAGATTATAGAGAAAAAACCAACACCTTCCTGTGCAGTCCTGTTGGAATTTGTAAGTACTATTATGGTGAGCAAATCAAGTGTTCATTTGTAAACTGTAATGAGAATCAACTTTATCCTGTGTTATTCTTGGAAGCCTTTCAGTTTTATGCAGTAATGTTGCTTGGCTTCAGTTTCCTGGGCAGTGTGAAAACAACCATTAACCACTGTCTGAGTAAACTGAAATGCAGAAAAAATGATTTTAATGTTTAATAATATTTCAAATGCATAACAGTCCTAAGTTAAATTTTGTTTTTTGTTTCTAAATCCGTCTGGTCAGTATTCATGTTATACTTTATGAATTCATAGAATGTAGGAAGTTGGGAAAAAAATGTTGAACTATTTCATAGGTCTGGTAAGCGGTTTTACACTTTAAATTGAGTTGATTGCCAGTTTGCTTTCTAAATGTGAGTGTAGACTGCATTACACGTGCAGTTTAGTGTTCCAGTTTAGAGTCATGTAGTTTAAAACAAATTGTAATGGAGGACTTGGTTTTTAATTGTATTTCATGAAATACCTTGGTTTAAGACTAAACCGTTTCTAACATTATAATGCATTATAGAAATTAAGCTTTCAAAACAGTTTGTTGAAGTGGTTTTGTATTTCAAATTAAGTTTTTAGTTTCAAAGAAAACATTACCAGGAAAGAAACAGGAACTGAGCAAGCTGAATCAAAAAACCTTTATTAAGGATTATAGTGGCTGTAGGCATGGCTCAAGTGCAAGAGTACTTGGAGGCCCTGAGTGCAAATGTCAGTACTGCCAAAGAAAAGTATTTTCTTTTTCCCTGTCAGGAATGTTATGCTGCCTTTAGTTTATAAGCAATGTGTTTTTTGAAAAAGTGATTTTTTTTTTTCAGTACTGGGACTTGAACTCAAGGCTTTCACCTTGAGCCACTCCACCAGCCCTGTTTTTATGAAGGGTTTTTCGAGATAGATTCTTACGTAACTATTTGCCCAGGCTGGCTTTGAACCACGATCCTCCTTATCTCAGCCTCCTGAGTAGGTAGGATTACAGGCCTGAGTCACTGGTGCTTGGTTTAAAAAAAAAAGTGAATCTTAATTGCTGTAGAACTCCTTTTGACAAATGTGGGAACTAATCTTTTAATGATATTTGTATTTCAGGGTTGGATGTTTCTAGGTACCATTAATTACTACATTTAACTTTCCAGTGAATTGTTGGCTTTCAGGAATGTTGTTTTTAAAGAAATTCACTAACATTTCAAACAATATTACTGAAGAGAGCAAGGTAGCTAAATTTAGGCTTTATTTTATCTATTATTCTGAGGTAAAAGAGGTTGAAAAGTTTTCAACACTTTCCCGAGATGACTTACTAACTAGTTGCTTATTTATTCCCAAACAGAACTTTTTTGCTCACTTGTTGCATTGTTAGATCCCTTAGTGCCAAAGAGGTAGATAGCAGAGTCTAAAAGAATGTAGATATTCAGATATTCATGTGTAGGATTTTTATTCTCTAAAATTGAGATTAGAGAGTGTGACAACTCCCTGTCATAACAGACCAGGTTATATGTGTTTTCTGTGTTAGATCTGTGTGTAGTGTGTTCCTTTTTTTTGAGCTGTCTCCTTATGTGTCCAGGTTGGTCTGGGACTCACCACATTGCGAAGGCTTGCCTCAAACTCCTCATTTTTTGTGCCTCTTGAGTGCTGGGAGTACAGACATGCATTATGCTTTGTGTGTAGTACTTCTAATTTAGTTTCCGTTTTAATTTATATAAAAATTGGTGAGAACATTCTACTTCCCTTCACTTGGGAAAGCTTGTATTTTATGCATTCCAATTTTTTGATTTATTGACTTTTCAAGGTACTCGTCTAAGAATATTTAATGTGACTAAGAAGTTGGACTGGAATCATATCTTTATTCATAGAAAGGAACCACATAACATTATTTGTGATTTTCCTTTAAATTTCGATTATTGGTATTGTTTTCCCAAGCTGCAGTATCAGGATAAATTATTCCAAAGACCAGAATTTTTAACACTATAATCCTTGAGTAGTCTACATTTGTGAATTTTGCTTACAGCAATTATTCATGGCAATTATTAAAGGACAGATTTATTTACCTGAATTTTTGGAAACGTTTTTATTAGTATATATTAGTCTTGTGGGGGAGTTTCATTGTCACTTTTCTATATATTTTTACAGTGTACATTAGAGTCATCCCCACAGTTACCTGAATGTTTTTGATGTTTTCAGTATTTTTCTGGAGATTGAAATTTTTAGTATCTCTAGTTAATAATTAGAGCAATTGCAGGGCTGCTTCTTCCCCTTCCTCTTTTTCTCCTGTCTCCCTTACTCTGATGTTTTTCCCCCTTGTCTAAAGTATACGTCTAAGAATAATTATTATGGCTAACGTTTATAGATGATCCTGGTGTGTTGTGTTTTGCTGTGTACTTTACATGGTATATCTTACTTTTTTTTTTTTTTTTTTGTGGTACCAGAGTTTGAACTCAGGGCCTCTTGCTTGCTAGTCAAGCTCTCCACCACCCTCCATCACTTGAGCCCTCTGCCAGCCCTTTTTTGTTTTGGGTATTTTTGAGATAGCATCTTGAGTGTTAATTGCCCTGGCTAGCTTTGAATCTCAATCTTCCTGATCTCAGCCTCTTGAGTAGCTAAGATTAGAGGTGTGGAAGATACAGTATATACAGTATGGGTGGGAAAACTAAGATTTTAGGGAGGTTGAGACTCGGAGAAAGTTACTTGGTTAGAATTGAAATCTTGACCAGATCTCCAGGCAGTCTGACTCTAGAGGTCTGCCTGTACTCTGCACTGCCAACCCCAGCCCAGTCTATATTCTTAATCACAATGCCATATTTACACTGCCTTTTGGATATTACTTTACTAATTCACTCTATTTGAACATTCTCATATTTTTGTTTTTCTTATACTATTCCTCTTGGTTAATGTTGAGTGCACACTACAAATGCATCTTAGAGAAGCTAACAGGGAAACTTAGTTTGCTATTTCTCAATAGTTTTTTGGGTGATAACTTCGGTAAGCCAAACATTCAAATGTGGTTTTGGATTATATTTGAATCTTACCCATAACCTCTTTCCACAGGTACGGAGCTTAAATGCTTATTAGTTGTGCTTTTTTTTTTTTCTTTGTTTTTGACCTGAAATTATCATAGAGATTTTGTGCTTAAAGCTTCCAATAAATTAAAATTGATGAAGGGAGGAATAATAGGGAAAGAACAGGCATAGAAAAAGAAAGAGTGGGGAAAAAAAGATTGTAAAAGTAGAAAGGTAAGGATGGGAACTTCTAGTCTGAAAGTAAAATACTCAAGTAAAGAGGGAATTCTGAATCCATGTCAGTTTATCTGCTTTTGACCCAACCTCTTGTCTGTTCCATGAAAGGGTAACTACTGGGTTATAGAGAAAGAAAGTAATGAAAAGAGACTTGGTTTGGGATATAAGGTATGTATAATATTGTATATTTAACTAATTTCTGTTGGCCTTAGTTTTTTTTCATTAAATTGATGGAAATAATAGTTTTTTTTGTTGTGAAATGTAATATAGGTGTTAAGTTTTGTTATACTCTCAATATTTAAAAACTCTGCTTAATGCATTTTACAAGTCAAGCCAGTATTTATCATAGGTTCTCAAGCTATTTCTTCCATTCTGTCTCTTTGATGCTAAAATTGTATGTGTAGCTTTGCCCCCTCATTTCCAGCTTTTTTTTACTTTCCTAACTTGGTTCTGACTAAGGAAGTAGCTTACTCAATGTCTTCATCCTATTCTGTCCTTTCTCAAAGTCTCCCTGATGGCTAGAGAAACCTACTTAAAATAATAGCTCTTGATATTTGTTATTTTATCAACCGTGGGGTGATATGTTTGGCATATTTAGAAAGTGCATGTTTGAAAGGGATGTATGCCCTGTACTTTTATTTATTTTTTTATTTAGCTGCTGTTTTATGTGTCAGATGTTCTTTTTAAAAATTTTATTTTTGAATTAGTATGCATTAATAATATGAGGGCATTTCATTGTGATTATGCCATACATGCCTACAGGGTACCTTGAACATGCTCACCCCCCTCCAGAAGTTCTTAACATGAATTCTTTTGAGTACATGGATGGGAATGGGAGACAGTGATTTCTGAGAAGTCTTTCAAATTGAACATTTTGTGGTGCTTTTTGAGGAGTAGATCCATTACTGTCAACTGGACCCTTGTGAAAAACAAAATGCTGAGAATTACTGGTAAGGGCTAGGGATGTAAATAACTCAGTGGTAGGAATATTTGTCTAGCATCCACAAGGCCCTGGCTTTCATCTCTAGCATTGCCAAAAAGTAAAGAGTATTTATTGTGTCACATGGTTTTTGTGGACTGGCAATCAGGAATAGGTTTGTTGGTGTTCCTCCCTTCAGGTCTTTTCATAAAATTTCAGTCAAGATGTTGTCTAGGGCTACAATCATTTCAAAGTTTGGGACCAGAGCGTGACAGTTGAATCTTTTATAGAGAGCAGGTGACCTGAGAAGAGAGAAAGGCGCAGTGCCTCTTATGGCCTAGTTTCAGAAGACTTTTTTTGTCAAATTCTGTTTGTTAGAAGCAAGTCTGTAAATTTAGCTGGAAATCAAGACAAGGGGAATAAGTTCTACTTTTCGTTAAAGGATTTGTGGACATGCTTAAAAACCACATATTAAATAGCCAAAATATTCATCTCATAATTGGGAGATTGGCCTATAATATAGTTTGGAGAGAAATTATTCTGCATTTGTATGGATTCAGGAAGCTTAGGCCTTCTTAAATGTTATTTGCTGTAAGAGATGTGGACATAAAATTTTCTTCTTTTTTTGCTTCGACCATCACACATGGTAGGCAAGCACTTTACAGTTGAGGTACACCCCTAACCCTGTTTGTTTTTGCTTCACACTAATTTTCCAGTTAGTATAGTAAGTGAATTTGGAAACAATTGTGATAAAATAAACAGCAAAATATGCCATAAGTACATTCACATTATCATACACTAATCACCACTCCCTTCACCAGGACTTTTCATCCTCCCAAACTGAAACTCCATAGTCAGTAAACAATGATTCCACGTTTTCCCCTTTACCCACCTCCTGGCAGTCAATCACTTTACTTTTCTGTCAGTATTTTGACTACTTTAGACACTTCATATTCATGGAATCACAGTATTTGTCTGTGATATTTTTAAAAATTTAACTGTAATACCTTCAGGGTTCATCTATGTTATAGCATGTATTAGAATTTCTTTTTTAAGGGTGAATAATATTCCCATTTTTTTATTTATTTGCACATTTTGCTTACCTTCATTTCTTGATAGACAGGGTTATTTTTATCTTTCGGTTTTTTGGTTTTTTTTGGTGGGACTGGGTTTTGAACTCAGGGCCTCATGCTTGCAAAGCTGTAACACTACCACTTAAGCCATACTTTCAGTCCATTTTTCTCCAGTCCATTTTGGAAATGGGGGGGTCTCTCAAACTATTTGCCTGGGCTGGCTGGCCTCCAACTGAGATCAGTCTCCCAAACAGCTAGAATTAGAGGCTTGATTCCACTGACTGTCCGGCTAGCTTGTGGTTTTGATTAATACTGTGCATCTTTTCATGTACTGATTGCATATTCAGGTACCATTCATTTATCTTCTTCAGAAAAACACTTAAGTCCTTTGCCTCTTTTTTTTTTTTTTTTCTTTTTCTTTTGAAAGATCGTGTCTCACTGTTTTAGCCCAGATTCAGGCTCAAAATCCTCCTGCTTCAACCTTTGGAGTGCTGGGGTTACAGCTGTGTGCCACCTTGCCTGGCTTTTTGCCCATTTTTTAATCAGGTTTTTTATTGTTGATACTGAATTGTAGGCATTCTTTATGTATTTTGGATATTGACCTTTATTATAATGAGTGAATCCTAATAACTAATGCTTAGCAGGTGTTAGCATGTTTTAGGCAGTATTTTAAGCCTTTTAAGTGTACTAATTCATTTAGTCCTCATAGGCACATGTGTGGAAAGGTTCTTTTGTTATTCTCATTTTACAGTTGAAAAACTGAAAGCACAGAGATTTTAATCAGCTTGTCAAGGTCACACAACCAGTTAAGTGTTACTTCTGAACCTACCTTTTCTGTATGAAGTCTATGCTCCTAACCATTATGGTTCATAGTTTACAGTTTTTAAAAGATCATAATATGACAAAAGTAAAATACTACTCTGTTTTAGAAATTAAGAACTTACTTTCTGCTTAGGCAGCAGCTAAATTTTATTTTCCTAGTTAATATGTAATACAGAGATGACTTTATTATAATGTACCTTCATATTTTTCATTTGAGGAATATTTTCCTTCTGAATCACTTCACAGGTAATGTTTATATAATGTTAGTTTGGAAAGTGTTTTTCCTGATTACCATGTAAAATAAGTGATTTTTCCATGTAATAGTGTAAGAAACTCAGTCCAAGATTAAATAATATACCTGAGGTCCCAAGTGGCAGGGCCAGAATTTGTTTTTATTTTTCTTTGTTTGTTGGAGGGGAGGGGTGTTGGGGACCAATTAAATGCTGTTAAGTATATTTTTGTTCTGGGTAACTTTCTTAATGTTTAAATAGTATCTCTTATGTTGAATAGAATTTTGTGAAATAGTGGAAACTTTCTAGGTGTGTAGTGTTCAGTACTGTTGGCAGTAGACATATGTCATTGAAAGTACAGTTGAAAATTTTTAAACTTTTTTTTTGGGGGGGGGGCGGTCTGGGGACCAGGGTCAATCTGTATAGCCCTGGTTGGCCTTGAACTCTGGTTCTTCTGCTATAGCCTCCTGGGTCCTGAAATTACATTACTACTTAAAACTTCCTCTTTTTTTTTTTTTTTTTTTTTTTTTTTTGGCAGGTTTGAACTCAGGGCCTCACTTGCTAGGCAGATGCTCTACTGCTTTAGGTGAGCTGCCAGCCCTTTATTGCTTTGGATATTATTCTTTTTTCTTTTTCCCACCATATTCCCTCTTATATGTGTCAAAATTGATTCTGTACAATGAATTTTGGGTTGCCAGAGGATTTATTTTTTTTGTACCTGTCTGTCTTTGTCCACAAGTTAAATAAAAACACAGTATATAGGTGTAGGTGGTACTGGAGTTTATACTCAGGGCCTCATGCTTGCTAGGTAGGCATTCTACCACTTGAGCTGGTGCTGAGGCTTGAACTCAGGGCCTATATCTTGAGCCACCTAACACCTTTTTTTTGTGATTTTTTTTTTTTGAGGTAGGGTCTCATGAACTTCTAATTGTGATCCTCCTGATCTCTGCCTTCTGAGTAGCTAGGATTACAGGCATGAGCCACAAGCGCCTGGCCACACCAGTCTGTTTTTTGCCATTAACTATTGTTTCTTTTTTTTTTGTTTGTTTTGGTGGGACTGGGATTTGAACTCAGGGCTTCACGCTTGCAAAGCAAGTGCTTTACCACTTGAGCCAAACCTCCAGTCTGCCATTAACTATTGTATGTTTTTTCTAGAATGTCATGTTACAGTGTCATGTCTGTACCCAAAATCATTTGGGTATTGGCATTTTGTATTAGATATGTTTAATCATTATTGGAAATGAGAAAGTATCAGTTTCTTTGCTGTCATGATATTTCAACAGTGCATCTGGGATTCTTGTACCTCTTGAATAATAGCTAATGTGCTAAAGAGGGTATTTGTTAGCAAATGTTTGAGTGCCTACTATATAGTGTACTATCATTTAGTAGAGAACATAGCAGCACTGTGAAGATTCCTGTGTTCATACAGTTTGTCTGTTTTGAAGTGCTGTGAATACAGACTAAAAAGAGCCTTGAAATTTGAGTCATGATTTTACACATCAATTAATAGCTATTTGATGTTGGCCAAACCAATCTTATATGACTGTTAATTCTTGTTCTACAAACTAGTGCCTTACAAGATTATCATTAGAGTCAAGTGAAATAATGAATTCTAAGTGCCTTGAAATTGTAAAACGATACAAACATTAATAATGTTATAGCTGGTCAGATAGATGGTAGTGGTTGAGGACCATGTGATCACCTGGGAGGGAGAGATTAAATTTGGAAACATAAAGTGAAGGGATAGAATTGAGTAGAAACTAGATATATTTACATTGCATTTTATGGCACATTTAAAATTGTTAATGTATTACACTTTTGGATCATATTTGTATAATCTGAGATATGGCATCATACTTTTAAATGGCAACTTTATGTAAATCTTAAATTTGAATCCCCAGTCTAAATCTTTAATGTTCAAAACCAAGCTTTTCTTTCCCAGCCCCATATTTTGTCTATTCTTAACCTCAGTAATTGGCTTCACTATCCCTCTCATGAAACTAAAACATGTGGGAATTATCTTTAGATTCCTTGTTCCCCTATCTAAAACTATTAGCAAGTTTATTTGCTCTATCAAAATCTCCCAACTATGTCTATTTCTATCCTACCACTACTTGTCTAAGA